TCCCACGACACCACATCATTTTTTTCCATAATTTCTCATCGTTTAAACCTTCCCTGGACTCCCACAAATATTTCAAAACCAAAATTAGCCAAATCGGTCCAGCCGTTCTCCAGTTTTAGCGAGACTAACGAACTGCAATCCATTTTTATGTATAAAAAAAGAGATTCAACAAAAATAAAATGGTTACCATTTTAAACTTATGATAAGTACTCAAATCCAAGCGAACGAATTCACGGGCTATAAGCTGTATTCAATAAATTAACAGTTGCGGAAGCTATGGGGTAAAGCAATTTAAAAAAAATTGCGTGTACGCCGACTATTCATCGCGTTTTAATTTCATTCCCGACATTTCAATATCTTTACAGCGTTCAAGGTCACGGAACAGACTAGAGTATTCGAGTTAACAATTCATATCATTTTTAATTTTTACAATAAATTCAATTTTTTGTCAATGTACTTAGCGCTTGTGAAGACTCGAATCTGAATTTTAAAGAATCTAATGAATTTTGTCAACAATAATTCTTTTAAACCTCAAGGCTCAGTGGTGGAGATGAAAAGTATTTAAAATCATGACTACAGAAAGAGGAAATAAAACATATGGCCGTGATAGCTCAGTGAGCGGCTCGCTTTTATTTTTATATACTCGAGCAATCGAGTTCAAATCCCGGTGGAATTTATTTTAAAATAAGTAAAAAAAAATAACTAATGCATATGTGTGAAAGAAAATTTAGATGATATTATATTTATGGATTTCATTGTATCACTACATAGTATAAAACAAAGTCGTCCCGCTGTCTGTCTGTCCCTATGTATGCTTAGATCTTTAAAACTGCGCAACAGATCTTGATGCGATTTTTTTTACTAGATAGAGTGATTAAAGAAGAAGGTTTATATGCATTGCACCCATGCGAAGTCGGGGCGGATCGCTAGTGTAATTATAATTTAAATTCATCCATAGTTAAGGAAACTTGATTTTAATTTAATAAATAAATGATATTTAAATTGAACCAAAATATCCCAATTATCGGATACGCAAAAGAATATCGAAACAACACAATATACTAGTAATATTAGTTATTAAACGAAATATTTAATCATTCAAATGTGTTAAAACTTAGTGCGGAAGTTTATTGCGACATATTAGTCTACGGTCTTTGACGTTTGCGTTTGTAACATTAATATATGACGAAAAAAATAGAAAATTCCGACTCACGGCGAAAAAAAATCACAACGCAACTTCGTTAATGCGAAGTTTGCGAATGCAACACAGGACAGGTGAAAGCCGAGGGTGTTTCTATGGCGAGAGAATTAGTGACTCATACCTGCGCCTGGTCCACTGCTGACTCAACCGGCGACACCCCCGATGGCACTGGTTCTGTTTTCAACGCTAGTTCGAAGGAATTCGAATTTTGAAATTTACTTTTATTTTTAATTAATTTAATGGGTGTTGTCATGAAAAAGTTTTCGTTTACGCGAGCTTCGGTGGTGAGTAGGGGTGCGCGGTGTCCGCTCGGCAGGGCGGTCGGGACAGGACTGACGGGTTGAGCCACCCTGGCGCGTGCAATGGGCATGGGCCGCCGCAACCCTCGCACAGGGTGCTCCTTTTGTGACAGATTATTAATATTATTACAGAGGCGTTCCTTACGTTCGAGTTTTCTTCCTCTACCGTGCGTACAGGTTGGCGTATTCGAACGAAATAAAGACATTAAGCTTTATTGATGATAAATTTCATTTATTACAATATTTCAGACGAAAATTGAAATATTTATATTATTGAATAATTCAATTATTCAATAATATAAATATCTCAATTTTCGTGTTTTCAACACTGACGCGATATTGGTCTCGTAATCAAACAGCTTACTTTACGTCTGGGTCTCTTTACGTTTAGCTCAATTTTTATGTGTGTGAAGGCGTTGTGGTTGACACTATGACAGAACATACTGTAGATACCGGTGAACCTTACAGTATCTATTCACGACCCAACAACTGCGCGTTATGCGGCCCCTATACAAAAATTACAAGTGCCCTACGACTTTTTCAACCTATCGTCGTCTGTAGGTTAAAAAACACTACAAAACGACGAAAACCTCTGATAGAACCCGCATCTGGAGCCCGAGCTTCCTACCGTGTAAGCATTCATCACGATTTGCATTCGGAACATTCGCCGTCCTTATTGTTCGTTTTGTTTTAGAAAAGATAAGGCTACGAAACCTAATTGAACTTGACAAAATTCAAGGTAGCTTCTTATCTCTCTGTCAAATAATGAATACTAATACATAATAGAGTAAGCAAATTTAACTGCGAACATTTTATTTATACACGCAGTAATTCATTCTATTTTTTAAATTAAGAATATTATTTGTACATCATAGTTTTACCAGATCGTTATTATTGGGTCTCCGAAACAGCTCAGTGAATTAATTGTATTACAAAAACAATTTCCATCCATTATTTCATCACGCAGCAGTAAATAATTGAACGTTTACATTTCATCCGAATCCATATTTAATATCGGGAATAAGCGGTACAGGATATATTTTTTCCTTTAACGGTAAACGTGAAATCGCATTGGAGAGCAGATCTGCGAACGGTTGGGCGGATCGCGCCGCCGCCCGCCCAAACAGCCCGCCCAATCGGACGCCCCGCCCGTCCCCCGCCCAGCGGCGAGATAATTGAGTGTAATTGAATCATCTCGCAGCATTCAATTAGCCGAGCCGAGGCCGCGCTAATCACTGCGATTGTTTGCAGCCGAACACAGGCACGCGACGCTACGCGACTGCGCTCGTTCCCTTTGACTCATTTGGCGGACGCAATATCTGTGGCCAGTATCGAACTCTCGTTATGTTGTGCCGGTGAAAGATAAAAGTTGGACAATAGAAGCATGTTTTCTTCTGTGCTGCCATAAATTTACATTCTTATGTCGCACTGCTGAACAAATCGCAAAATTAATAGTGAAAAAACGAATGTGGTCCGGTTGTTATAGTTATTTATTTAGTAATAATTGTGGCTATTATATTAATTATTAGCTAGTTAACGATGAAGTAAACATAATTTCTTAGCTCGTTAAGTTTGATTGACAAATTAGGACATAATAAAAATTATACCTATTTATATTTAATTCATTGTTTACAAGGTGATTAGTATAATGAATGACTATACAATCCGAGACTATTTTCATCATAATTTTAATATATGGTATGGGCACATTATGAGAAGGGATGAAAGTCACGACTAGAAGTGTGATAAATATGAATGTGGTTGCAGGGTACAAAGCTTGACGAAGATTTGGATGGACTGAGTAAAGAATGATATGTCTGTGAAAGGAGTCGGTATGGAGGAAAGTGGAAGGAAAGGACATGTAATGTTGATCCCACCTAGTGTGGGATAAGGGCAGGAGAAAGAAGAAAATGTATGGCATAATTATACTTAAAGTATAAATTTCTACCTGAGTTCTAATATATATTTATATATAATGGCATGTATAATAGCAATCAACTAGTTAGTTTTGTTTCAGTCAAAATTTATAGGCGCTCCTAATTCGATGCTAGAATGTAGACCTAGAGTATAATTTCATTACACAGGAAATGCGGAGCGCTGGCGTTGTTATTTAGCAATATATATCATTGCAATGCAACAGGTACGCGTTAGATTAATTAAAATAAACGGAATAAAGATTTTTTTAAACCTGTCTTAATAAATATCAATATTATCACAGGTTTCATATACGTGGAGTGCATTGTACCTACCAGCCATGGTCGTTTCAACCGTAATGTCTTTGTTGCAGATGAGGTTGTAATAGAGATTATTTTGAAACATCAATTGTAATACAACACGAGCATTTTTAACTATACTAAATTGGTTCTTTCTATCTTAAGAGGATAAGTACAAACTCATTTGATATTTAAGATAATGAATATATTATGCATTCCGTTCGGCAATTAAAAAGGACCCAACTTTTTTATTATATCATGTACATAATAAAAAAGTTGGGTCCTTTTTAATGAAAGTATAGAGTATCTGATCATAGAACATCACAGTTTTGATTCAATAACGATTCATTTGTCCTAAATTGTGTATATTTCTTTAAAAAATGCAATAATTTGTTAAACTATGTACTTGTCAACCACACCAATGACCTTGTGGTGTAAACGTAACTGAATATTGCCTTCATGGACTTTCGGGCTAAAAAGTGCTGGCTGCTTTGCCCACCATGGTTCCCTGAACGTTGTCATCCGTAGCTTCTTGCTTCCGTCGATGTTTTGTTCAGTTTTAGAGCGCTGTGGCATTTTCAGGGTAAGAGACGACGGTAAGAGACCCAACGGTTTGACTTTGATCTCTTAGGAGAGAAACATTGTCGTTGTTTGGGATGCTATATACTTAGGCTGCCTCTCAAGAGTAACTTTAGTGAGGGCAGTGGCGATATCAAAGGCAGCTGAAGTAAGTACGAGTTAATGGCGCATAAATAGTCAATTTGTCCCGAATATTTATTACTGCCATTTGATGTTGAAACCTTAGGTTCACTGGGATCAGACACATGAGATAGTTGAAGAGGTACCTCCTAGACTCGCTTTAGCTGATGGCAAGAGGGCTCGCTCATTTATGGTTTAATCATAATTATTCAGCGAGGAATAGCAGCTATCGTTCTTGGCACCATACCGCGTGGGCCAGATTTGTTTGATAACATTTATTTTACTTAGTATTTAATATTGTAATAGTTTTTTGTATTGCATTTTAAATGAAGCGCGAAAAAATAAAGCACTATAAAATAATAGTTTCATCCAAAATAAAATGTTCTTGGATTTAATTTAGAAATATTTTAAGAGTGTTTCACGTATATCCAGAGAATGATGACATTAATTTCGTGTTGTCAGATAGAGATGTAAAATTTGTCTCTTTAAAGATGTTACTTTATCTGGCGTTAGATAGATGAATATGTTCTTTAAGTGTATGGGTCCATGTTTAGATCCGGAATGAGTATTTGCAGTCCCTACGTCTCAGTGGAATCGATCGCGGTGCGTCATCGGGAGGTCATTAAACGGGGATAAGGCAGTGCTCGAATCCCGCGCGTCCGGCTTGGCGTCGAGCCGGCGCACTGGCAACGCGCATGCCGGAACTGCGAAGCCCCACTCGCGCACGCGCCGGAAGCCTGCCCCCGCGCATCCTACCCGGTGTCACTTACGCGGCAATTGCGAGTAGGTACTTACGGCTTGCTTCTGTATCGATTACGCGACATACTTGCGTAAATCGACGCGCGCATGTGACTTTTGACATTTGTCATATAATAAGCGTTGTCGACCTGAAACTGTAGAAGCTGGGATTGACCCGCGTAGCACTAAATTTGTCTGGTCCCGCCTCACCGATGTTGAAGCTTTATAAAACGGAGTAACTTAAAGTCGTTCGTCGTTCAATCTACTAATTAGTCAGTCGAATTGTAACAGAGAAATAAATTTATATATATATTATCTCTTTTTGTGATTTTATTCACATAACCTACAGTTTTATAGCCGACATGTCGTGTGTTAAAAGGCGTGGCGACATGGCGTACTTTCATCGAGTCCAATGCTGGTGACTAAATTAAAATTTTATTGGAAACAGATTATTCAATAAAAGCATGGTACAAATATGATGTACATACAGTCGTATTTAATATGATGTATGTTTTAATACATTGTAATAACTTCATTTGATTGGTATCGGTTGTTCATACAATTAAAGAATGAAAAGTTCGGCCTGATACAGTGAATTCAAGTTTTGAACTGCACATAGATGCATGGATAGAACTTTGTATACGTGTCCGTTATCTCTGAGCCTTACAAAGAAGTTTGCCCTACAGTCATAATAAGCCTTTTTTCATGAAGCTGATTTAAGGAAAAAAATCGTAAGAGTCAACACATTCCTTATTTTTTAATTGAATTCGAATCAAGTCTATCGATTTACATAAATAACTTCGTTAGTTGGGGGGCGTCGTCGTGGCACTTTCTTCCTTTTTTTTTAAACTTTATTTTATGCCAGTGCCATTGCATCAATAACTTTATTATTGGATGTGATGTGAACTCGTTAACCGTCTGTACAGGTAAATATGTAAATATTTAGGACGGGCGTTGGGAATTGTTGTGGGAAATGTCAGGTTCGGGTCACACCCGGACGTTAGAGGACGCCGGTGGCGTGATGTGATCGTTCCATGATCGTTGGCGCCATCTGTTTGATTCACACGTTACTGGATAGGAGTAGTAAAAACGTTTTTTACTTTAAATTCCCCAGTTATTGTTGTTACGTAACTATTAAATATTTGCATGGTGTTTTTAATTTCGAAGGCAGCAACTGAACAGGTGGTTCGACTGATAGTAAGTGTTTTCGCAATCATAGAGCTTCACAACACAAGAGAAATGTTGATAAAACTTGTTGTAGGCGCGATTTCAACCGATGATAGATAAAAACGGCAACAAAATCTTGTCTTTTTTACGGGAGCCCCACTTAAATATTTTTTATTGTTTTTAGTATTTGTTGTTATAGCGGCAACAGAAATACATCATCTATAAAAATTTTAATTGTCTAACTATCACGGTTCATGAGATACAGCCTGGTGACAGATGGACAGACAGACAGCGGATCATTAGTAACAGGGTCCCATTTTACCCTTTGGGTACGGAACCTTTTTAGGATTCATGTCATATTTCTTTATTTGGGAGTTAATGTTGGAACAGTGTTTTGTAGCGGATAACTAAGTATCAGGCTTAGCGGCGTGCTTATGGGGAGTCCTTTGTCAACAGGTTTTTTCGTGAAAAGTTGACAAGCAAACAGCCGATTCAACTGTTGTTAAGTAATAACTACCGCCCATGGTAAACTACAAAATATCGTCTCTCTGAACCAATAGGTGCAATAGCAGAATCTGTTTTGTGGTGTTACGATAGTAGACTTATGAAGATAACGATATGTGCAATAAAAATGCATATCATTTCAAGAACTTTCAATTTCTTTGTTTCCTATCCAGCACCACTTGTTTAAACAAAATCCACCACGGGCCCGTAACTATCAAAAACAAAACAGTAAAGCAAAAACAATAGTTTAAACGCTTAAATGTCGCTCCCTCGAAAGGGAGGAGGTAAAAGCGGCCGCCCTCCAGCATTACGCACAAAAGATTGGAGAGTCCATTAACGCGCGTCTACGGTGCCAACGGTCGGCTAGGACGTGGGAAATCGAGCCCGCTCGGAAGGATGTGCCCTGTTGACACATTCGAGTGCTCCGTACACACGCATCGTGCACCTTTGGTGTAATTGTTTCCTCTTTTTTGTTCCTGTAAAATTGCCGTGAGTTCTTGCTGGCAGGTTTTGAACGAATATTTACTAGCATCATTCATCATTTATTGGTAGCTGTTATAACAATTATAATAACCTTACAGTAATTGTATACGCTGTTCTCTCAGCTTTCCTTAAACTATTGAAATAGAGAAATTAAACTATTGAAAATGATATTTAATGGGCAGGATTAAGTTATTTTTTTTTTTATGTGAAAAGTTGCCAAGCGAGCAGACGGTTGACCTGATGTTAAGTGAATCCGCCGCCCATGGACATCTGTTACACCAGAGAGTTTCAGATGCGTTGACAACCTTTTAAAAATTGGGCTCCGGCTACCTCACTAACCAGACGAAACGCGAATGTATTATACTTCCACTTTAAGCCGGTCTTCTGTGAGGTCGTGGTACTTACCCGGACGAACCTGCCCATTCGCGGCTCTACCACCGTTAAATATCAGAAATGAATATCAATACCAGAAAATGGTTTCTGTAAAAAAATCACTATATAGTATAAAACAAAGTCGTCCCGCTGTCTGTCCCTACGTATGCTTAGATCTTTAAAACTACGCAATGGATCTTGATGCGGTTTTTTTACTAGATAGAGTGATTCACGAGGAAGGTTTATATGTATAATACATTGCACCCGTGCGAAGCCGAGGAGGGTCGCTAGTATTTTTATAAAATATTATCATATGCTCAAGCTACGACGCAAACAACATTTCGGGGAAGTCACGAATTAAAAGTATCATAAAAGGGTTACAAAAATAGACAGGTTTAAAATAGTTAAATTAAAAATTAATGGTTCTAAAGTTGTGAAAGAACAATTTAAATCTATCATAAAATTTGGCCGTAGACTTTCTGATCGGTTGTTGTCTGAACTGGACTAATTTAGAAAAGCGGTTATAATTTTTTTGATGCTTTCGCGATAACAGTTTTCAAAATTTTAACTTTCTGTTTAAAACTGGAAATTTTCAACGTAAGTTCAGCGATAATGGGAAGTTAAACATACAAAACATTATATGAGTAAATATATATTAATTTGTTACGGATAGTACCTATTTTAAATAAAATACTTTTTTTTTATTTAAAGGCATTCAGTTAATTTTCGAATTTTCGTTTTAACTATTATTTTAGAACGTAAAACAAGCACTATATCCTGTGATCAAAGAACCTAAGGTGTAAGTCGGGGGAAATGTGTAAAGTCGTTTTATTTACAATAAAGATCCGATACGTATGACCTTATCTTGAAATACAAGAGGTACTTCCCTATTTACAAGCTCTGTCCAACACTAGCAGTACGATGTGAATTATAAATACCTTTTGTAACGTAAACAATGTCGATGTATATTTTTAAGTAACGTCACGGTAATGATTAACGGTGCTTTTTTTATCGTGCTTCTATTTTACCGTTACTATTACCGTATCGATTGGGATTTTGTGGAAATCTGTGGGGGTGCGCGCGCGCTCTCTCCGACCAATCGGAGGCCTGCATTTGACAGATGCGCGCGCACAGCCTTTGTACTCCGCGCCATTGTTTGACAGAATAAATTTTAGGGTAGAATGTATGAGAACGGTCATGTGAGTATAATATGTCTATGCCAATTCCGTAAAAGTGTGAATTACTGACATCGCGTAGTATAAAAATGTACGTAGTTTATTTTTAATATCCAAGTAGTTCATACTATACGCACTCATCGAATATATGACATACGAAATGTTAAGTATATGTCATAGTTTGGCAACATTTGCCAATAATTTTAGCAGGATACCTTGGTCTTCATTTATATTAATTCTCGTTTTTAGAACTATATTTATAGATATTTTAACTTAGGACTTGTCAAATATGTTATCTTTTCCTGGTGATAAATAGATTCTGATTGGCGAAAAAGGCAGTTGTTTAAATAAAAGAATTAATTTTAACTTTCAACTGCCTTTCAAAATATCGAATTCCTTTATGGCGGATTTGAATAAAATAGACATATTTTTTTAAATTTCTATAATTTCCCCTTACTGTACTTATTATTTAATGGAACTATTTCTAACGATTTTATCGCGTCTAATTTATACGAGCACGGTGAATGGCAATGACAATTATCAATTTATATATAATCTCGTATAAAAAATATTGTAAGTATACAATTTTAATATCATTAATAAATATAAAACATGTTTGGGAATTGAAGTCACACAGGGTTTATATCAGTGTCGTTACCCGGGCAACGCACCCTCGGCAGTCGGCACGTTACCCCGTGCCATCCCGCAGGTGTGCTCCTGGATTTCATCGACCGCCTGCGACCAACAGGCCAAAAAAATATAATAGCAATGCTCGCTGCATTGAAATGAATGGTTGAATTATAGAAAGGATTTATCAAGATTTTCCCTCTGACCTTTGTCTATATAGAAAAGTGCGACGGGACCTTTCGGACCCAAGTATGAGTATTGCATATATTTATAACATTGAGTTTTAGAAGAAATTGAACGAAAAAGCTTTTGACATTCCTGAAGTAACAAAATTTTTATTTACCTATATATTAAAGATAAGTATAGTTTTTTTTTCTAAACAAAAAAGAAGGCCCTATTTACAGAGTCCATGACCGTGCGAAATCAGCGTATAATTTAAAAAAAGAAATAGAGGTGGGTCGCCGAGTATTGTGAGTGTACGCACCTGAAAGCATCGGCCATGACAGCTTAGAATCGCGTCCATTGGTGCAAGCGCGTGCGCGTACGTACGCCACGCGCCGCACGCGTATCCCGCTACGCACCTTTGTACGGTATCATCCGCAAAAAAAAAATGAAATATCGATTGTTTTTATCGTTTCATTTATTTTTAACAATATTTGCAAAATCTAACTACTAATAATAAGAAATTAATATTAATTAATATTTTATTATATTTATTTTACACAATTCATATATAATATATGACCAGTGTATTCATATATAATATATGATTTAAAACATTACGAAGTTAATTAACATTTGTCAGTTTGTTTTGAAATTGGTCAGAAGACAGTTTTAACGTCATCGCTAATGCGGTCTATTGTAGTTTTTGAATAAGCAACTTAATTTTATCCGATCTTTAGAGGATGAGTTCTAAGTTGTTACAGTGAAAAATGTAGATCATAAACTGTAGACCTAAGCCGTCCGTGATTCAAGTCAGTGTTTCTTCAGCTCATCAGTGTTTCGGCTTCGATTTCCTTTTAGACTTTTGTTTGACTTTAGAAAAGTTCTTCGCAATTAAATAGTAGTTTTGTGATGAAGTTTTGCTGAGCAAAACGAATTTAACGGAAACATATTAACATTAGAAGAGAATTTACTATTTCAATTAACCTCTAGTTGTTACTGTTATTAATGTCGTATATTAATAACTAAAACATGTATTAAGATTCATAAAACCAAAATATTGTACAGTTTACATTTAAAAAAAATTAAATAACAAAAAATTAAGGATATTTTTGCTGTCGGTATACATAACGTACTCTGTTCAATTCGTAGGATTATTTTATTGTGTTTTTCGGCACACGGCCTTTCAACGGCGAAGGGGGAGAATATAAACACCTAAACGAGTGCAAGTTCAGTAACGCACTGGCGATTATTATTATTTCCAATAAGTATTATTAGTTGAAAAATTATTACTTCGAGTACTGTCGTTATGCTCTTTTGACTTGTAGATATTCTGTGAATTATTTCTACTGCATTTGAGCAACTAAATTAATTTGCTGAATGATGACTTGGATAGCCTTTTAGTCGAGACCTGGCGTACTTGTGACTAAGCAAACTCCGTAAAACGTTGACGTTGACGTTGACTAATAAGCATTAGTTGTTTTTATTTAAACCGCATTGATATGTTTTCTACGCCTGTCACTTAAGTCTGCTTTTAATTCTTCTTATGTTTAAAGTAAAATCGTTAAAGTCCCATTGTTTAAAAATATAATCCATGGATATTAGCCGAACCTTTTAATTAGCTCCGTTTCCGATAAATATATTGGACCATCCTAACACCAACCTTGATTTATTTTATTAGGAAAGTCTTGCAATCAAATTCGTCGGTTACATTTCAGTGGTTTGTAACAATAGCTTTCCAATGCCTTAATAAAAAAATCAGGTTTAAATTAAAAATGTTTTTCCCCTTACTCGTAAACACGTGATATTTTACTTGATTCACCGCATGGATACGCTTTTCCGACAGAGTATCGATGTAGGGGCCCGTGCATTTGATTCCTATACGGGAGACAATTATATCTATTTGTGTGACTCATAGATAATTGTACCGGATTTTGAATATTTCTTCTCAACGACGTCAGAGAAGCGGCACAAACGGGAGTCGCACAAACCCAACCAATGCCACTAACAACTTGATTCACACGTTGCACTAATCCCACCAAGGCGGGATAAGGGCTTAAGATGATGATGACAGAGTATGGGTTACCAGCCGCTTTGCCAGATCCACGAGCACACGCCCAGCGCTCGATGGCAGTGTAATGTTGAACGCACTCGTGTTTTTTATCACGAGTTCATTATTCGCCATTATCGAAATCCGACTGCGCCCGTATGGCTTGTAACTGGTTGACAGATAGCGGTGCGCCGCGGTTGAAAGATCGCTGCTGGTACAGTCACGGACGTAACGCACGCGTGTTTTTTTATTCGGTATATCATTGGCATCGGGTAAAGAAAGGTTTAAGTTAATATACCCATAGTGGTCCCTAAAACTAGTAGTTTGATAGATCCTTTTCAAAATACGAATGGCGGGAACTGGGAATACATTTTTGTTTTTAATTAAGTACTATATACCAAAGAAAACATTCCTTCTCTCTATTTATATTATTTCTCTGTATTGATGTTATTTCTTTTGTACATGCTATTCATGTATACCCTTGAATCTCTAAACTGCTTTTTTCTTCGGATTTCGGAGCGGATTTTTCTTTTTTAGAAAAATTAGTTAAAATAAACAAGGTTATTTATTGATAATATTGGCCCTACTTACGCTGGAAGTATAGTTCTAAGTCCGTAAGGTTAACTCGAATCGGTTTTTCACTTTACTTTTACGATTTGTTAATAATTAAATTCTCTTATTACCTACCTGTATCCATTACTATTCTGAACCTGATTTTTGACCTGCTCCATCTGTTGCAAACGTCCTCTAGTTCTCCGATTTATGGCGCCGATTGTACAGCGGGCAGCTGCGCTCGCGTCGTGATGGGGCAGGTGTACCCGCGCCGCCGTAAAGGGCGCTCATGGCTGGGGCGCCCTTTATCATCCGGTATTGTTTGGTTACGTGTATGTCGGACATGAAGATAATTCCATCGTGGCTTTACAAATCTTGACCGGTATGCAAATAAGTTGTGTAATTGTTCATCTAGAAGTAACTTTTGCAGATTGTAATATACGACTTAATATAAGTACATGCATATGTACGAAATTAAACTGAGATATTACGATTATAAGCTTCATTAAAAGTCTATGTAAAATATGATACGTTGCCGTCGTGTTTTTTTTTTAATTTTACGATTGATTTGATAAAACAGTTTACTAAATGTCATGTTACTAAAATATATGAATAAATTATTAAAGATAAAAAGTAATTATATTGACTTGCATATGTATATTGAACAATATTATCAATTTCTTAACATTACGTATTTTGCAGTGAATTCTACTATCGATGGCAGATTTAGCCCATATTAGTGATTCTTCTAAGTGAAATATTTGATTGTGCTGTTTTAGCGTAATATATTTTAATGACGACTGATGTCTTTTTAAATGGTAATGATATTAGGTAACTTAAAATCTATGAATAGATTTGGTGTAAACATAAGTAAATCATTACGAATCTGTATTAAACATAATCCATTCGTTATCGAGATCATTCAACCGCCACAAAAGTGCGACAGAAGTGGTGCCCGGTTTGTAGAACTACGACCACTTTGACTACAAAGCCGCTGGACCGAGAAAATGCGGGCTCTACAGTTCGCTCTTCGCCAATACATTCTCGAGTGCCCGAGCTCTATTGTTACAGACGAATGCATTGCAAATTTTATATCTAACGAATCGACGCTCGATAACTGATGTACTTCTTGTATGCTGTTATTATATGTAATACATGTGATACCTGCGACTTTGTTTGTTTTCGTTGCTGATTATATTAAAAACGACACCGCTTGCTTCACTTCTCCACGGCAAGAAAGCACATCACAAATCGTTGTACTATCTTAAAACTTTAAGAACTAACATACTGTGGTAGGGCTCCGCAACAGTATCCGTAGTTTTCCCTTGATGCGCGAAAAATCGCTGATCTCTACCATTTCTATGTATTTACATGAATATATGGTTGCGTATAGTTTATTTCGAAAATGGCCACCGGGCGATTGCCTCGCATAAAAACATATTTACTCCTAGATTTGTAATGACTCCGTGACGCAATTGCTAAGGTATTGACGTTGGCGTCGGGGGTCATAGGTTTGATTCCCACACGAGACAACAATTTGTGTGACCCACAGTAATTTTTTCAGGTCTTAGCATTTGTTCGCCTGAAATTTGTGTATGTTCAACGTCCTTACAACACAAGATAACGTTATCCTACAGTAAGGGGGTAATGTTTTAGAAGGGAAACTACTCGTACAGTAGACCTATCTAGGGCGCAGTGGTTATTGAGACTTACTACCCCCTTCACACAAAATACAATACAAGATTCGTGACATGTACAGAGCATCGTGGTTTGTCTTGCCAATATTTAAAATTGAAGCGGGTACCTCATTCGCCAGAAGAGGCATAGCTGTGTAAATACTTCCAATTTTCACTGGATTTGCAACCGGAAAAACAGCTAACCGTTAAAAGTCATATAACAAGCGTTTGAAACAATGTAATCTATCACATATTGATGAAGAATGATTGTAGTAACTGGTCTGTAAAACTATAGTCTTTCACTGGATAAGGTATACCTAAGACAAACTATGAGCTCCAAAGTAAAAGAGATCAACCTGTTACATTGAGAAGAATATAGTATATTTCTTTCTAGTAGTTTATTTCCTGGAAGGCACTAAAAATAAACGATTTATGCAATATAATCATCCATTAAAATTACATTACTTTTGGATTATTAAAGACAAAGTTCTTTTACTTTTAATTTTAGTTGTAATCAAAATAATTATCGAACACACTTTGGAAACAAAGATGAAAAATAAAATCAAAATGAATAAAACAATATTCATGATTTGACAATTTGCGAATTTCGGCTGCTAGTTTGACGATTTGAAATTTGCTGAAGCTTTGATATTTGATATTAGTGAGGTAATTCGATAACACTGTGATGTTCGTCCCCGGAATCATTAAGCGCAGTGAACTAACTGCAAACTAGATTTAACAACTATATAGCTCACTGGTCAAAGCACTTTGTTTTTTCGCGTCTTCGGCATTTTTAATCAGCAATTTATTAATAAATAATTAGTCTATTAGAATTTAAAACTTGACTTTCTTCCTCAAGACAGCTGCAATTTTTGATATCAGTTATATATTATATCGCGATATTCATTATCAAACAAATTTTTGTAAAAAAACTCAAGACTAAAAGTCCCATCTGCGATGAAGGGTAATTAATTACACTAATGCTAGATGATAGACATACATAATTATATGTTATATTTATTTGTTATTACTTAATCTCACCTTGTCTGAAATAAGAAATGCAAAGATGCTGTTTTTGATGTTATAGTAGGTAATGAAAAATTTTGTACCCAATCAGGATTTGGTTTTAATAATTATCTCATAATAACTTCAGATGATAAACATGGAAATCCCTTTTGAAATAGTAGTTTCACTGAAATTTACACTTTATTCGTTTCTTTATCGTTTATTCTCGTCAAATCTTAAAAGCTTAGCGTTATCGCTAAAGTACATTCAAGGGAACATTTAAATGCGTGACACCGATTAGGTCGCTGCTCCCCTAACTTCCTTGAAACATGGCCCATATTAAGTTCAGGTTATAAAGAAGGGTGCAACAGGTGAGCGCACCTTGACCCGTTTCTTAAGGGGAGCTACGGCTGTAAAACACTTGACGCCGACTGTACAAGTGCTAACTGTTTTGCGGGGATATTATAACGACTGATTGAAGAAGTGTTGGGGTTGCACTTTACAGGCCATTGTGTTTCAAATGATAAGTGAAAACAAACGAAATGAACACGATATGTGAGCTTTTTTGAGATGTTATCCGATAAACGTCATCATTGGACATCTACAACATCCGAGGGATTGGTGCTTTGCTAACTTTTAGACTGGGCTCAGTTAACTTACTTACCAGACGAAACGCTTAAAGATAATACTACCACATCACGCTGGTCTGCTGTGAGACCGTGATACTTTTAAGAAAGAAAGAAAGGAGAAAGAAAGAATACAATATCTTTGTAAGCAAGCGGGAAAAGTCGATGAGACACTTAAGGAGTATTAGCGATGCATTACATTTATATTATCTGTGGTCAACAGAAATATAGTTCCGCTACGATGCGTCCACTTCTGTGATATCTGTATAACGAATTTTTTATAGCTATCTATGTCAGATGGAGAGAACCAAACAAAATGGTAATATGTTTTAAAGAAATACAGATAGTCATAACACATATAATGGCCATAAGGCGCTGCTAATTACAGATAGTCATCTTGAACAGATGGGCTTTTGGGGCCTACGAGCACGCCAGGAGTAATAACTTCGACATTTTATTAACACACAATATGCTAATATCACAGTATATTACGAAGGAAACTTCTAAGTTAATTGTGTGAAAATTGAACAAATTTTATAATTCAATTAGGAAGTCCAACTAAAGTCGTATCCATGTATTTATATTTATTGTTTCTGAAAAATTTCTCCTCTTTGAGTTCAGACGCTAATGGTCCATCATTTCTGCAACGAGGAATCCAATATATCCTGATGAGGACTACGTAAGGTATACTACATACTATCTTGTTAAAATATCCATTCATTCAATTTTCAACACAGTAAAATTTGTAAATGTTAGAAACAAATATTTACAATATTATATTAACTAATTTATCAATTACCAATTTGTTTCAGTCTAATTAGTAGCCTAACGCCCCTTCGATTTTAGCTTAAACGAACATTTGTTACCGAACTAAATCAAATTACAAAAAAACTAGGTAACTTTCTCCGCAAAAAAAAGGTTTACTTCCGAACCCTAAAGCTCGCCCCATTGAACATCTGACGAGGTGAATGAATCCTCGGCATTAGGGTGCTTACCGAATGATATAAAATGTACTCCGCTTGTAAAGTTCCGAACAACAATTACATTCCGCCACACATCTGTCAGCGTTTAGACAATCACGATACGTCACGCGATTTGTAAACTAGGATCCAGGAGTTTGATCGTAGCGAGTTTGATTTTAAAATTCATAATGTTTCGACATACGGAAAAGAGTTTCACAGAAGTCGAAAATTTTGGAAAGAAATGAAGCGAAATAAAATTGGTGTTTGCAATGTATTCGGGTAAATCCCAGAAATTTTCCTAATCGTACTAATTTCAATGATGTGAAAGGGACGTAAATGGAGAGATTACAGAGAAATGACACTCTATTTTTCTGATAATGAAATATGGAAACTAAATGTGAATTTCTTCCAAAAAACGAAATAGCGTAGAATGTTCATTTTTCAGTTATTTACTCCTCCTCATCTTTATTTCTTTATCATACGTTCTATATTATCTGTCACATTCACTTATATATGTCATATAATGTAAAGCGGAACACTTTTTAAACGCCGCGCAAGACATGCGCCTTCTTTATTAAAACATAATTGCCTTCAACGCACTAAGTCATATCGTTATCAGATTGTAGTGTTGCAAAAAATCGCTCGGTTTTAAAATAAAAGTTACTTTGTCCTAAGGCACCACTAACTTACGAATGCGCCCGCATTCATATCGTTCAGTCCGTTTTCTGTCCAATGCATTTGCTTTTCTTATTTGACCAACACATGTATCGTGAACTAGCTTCATTTGAAAAAATGAACCTTGGACATTCTCAAAATGGAGACTATCAAAGTATCCAGACGTTGGAAGCGTAGTATACGCGCGACAGCTGCAGCGCGCTGGCACGCACCCGTCGCGTATTCATACGGTAAT